TACATATTTGCCTTATGTAAAATTGAAGTAAAAATCGATTTAAGTGAAATGATAAATCGAAAATTAAAATTCGTATTCCTCTTCGGATGACATAATCATTTCGATTGCCCAACGGAACTTGTCTCTTTGTGTTTTATTATAAATTTTTTCGATTGGAACACCATTTTTCTTGCACCTTTTTGGGAATGATAAAAAGAAAAGGAAAGTCATATTCATATTGCTTTGTGTTATTTGAGTGTTTTCGCTGAATGTTAGAATACTCACCATGCCACCGATATCCGTGGATCTAAATAATTTAATTTTGACGTTCCCAATGCAATTGTTTTATTCTCATCTCGGTCAGTCTCTTGTAATTCCAACTTTTTCAGCTGCTCCTTTAGTTTTTCCAATTGCTTTTTCTTTTTGTCGGCAATCACCTTCTCTTTGACAGAGCCTCGTTTGGCTGCTTTTACACAATCCTAATTAAAAAGAAAAAAATCCATTTAAAATGTTCGTCCCCAAATAAAAACGATGGCTCTAAACTTATCCAAAGACTCAATTTACCTTGACATCGACTTCTAAATCGTCAATTTGATCACGCTTTGCCCGAATCTTTTCCTTCAAATTTTCCATACTCTTCTCATGGCCCTTGGGAACAGCACGTTGATGGTTACATAAAATAGCAACAGCCCGATTGGCACGATTGTATGCCAACAATTTTTCTGGTATCGAAGCGCTGGAATCGGTCATTTCTAACAATTGATTTTGAAGTGTCCATGATGCATTGTACGTACGGAACACTTTGGCTGTCAAACCGTCCATGAGATCGCGCAAATGCTCGTTCATGACAACAGTGTTGAGGCGATCGAATAGATCATCACCATCTTTTTTATTTTCTTTGAATAGTTCCAAATTTTTGAAAACACGTTTTTCAACTTCAACTTCGTTATAGTAACGAATGGAATCTTTACCGAGAAAATCAAATACAACAACATTCTCTTTTCCATTGAGCTCCTTATGAAGTTCAATGTGTTCGACACGCAGCGAACAACAGCCAACCGTATCGGCTTGGTCTTCGTCTTTTTCGTTACCAGCTCTCAAAGCTAATTTATCGATGAAATACAATGCAACAGCGCGCTGACGAATGCGCATCTCTTTCGATTTCCATTCTTCGCGATAGGTGCTGCGAATTTTTTCAATATGTTTGTGTAGACGCCTAGCCGTTTCGTATTTTTGCCAATCTTTTTCACCCTTTAATTTTGAACTTGGATTCAACATCACATATTTCACTTGACCCTGAACATTTTCGGTCCATGATGCAAGCCATGTAACGGTATTATCGTGACGCACTTCTTTCCATTTATGGCCTTTTGGTGGCACAGGAATTACACTATTTTTCGAACAATTTATCATTACGTCTTCGGGCATGATACGCCTTTTCACCAAGCCCATTTTTGGATGTTCGCCACGACCACGGAACAAGCCTGGCGGTTCAATTTTGAAATTACCAATCTTCTCTTTGTGACCATCGATTTTACAAAATCCATATTCGTTGATCAATTTTTCATTTTCCTCTTTAATTGCTAGCTTCTCTTCTTTTGTGCGATTCTTATTTCGTTCGGACAACTCTTGGAAATATGCGGCCATTTTTCGGAAATTGCAACGTTCTAATTTGGTGATTTTCTCTCTTTCCTTTGACGTCATCGATTTTCGCCAATCTTTGAAAAAATTATTATTGAAAATGTCTTTCGATGTATAATCATGTTCCAACATTCGAGCATAGAAACCGGCAATTTCTTCGGCGTCTTGCGACAATTTCATCGGTTGACCGTCATATTCGAAGGCAACATGGCCTGGCAATGGTTCATATGCAGGTGCAAATACAGGACCTTTATGTTCCAAAAATGACCACTTTGTGCCATCTTGTGGTTTCTCTTCTTCCCACCTAAAAAATCGATTAGGCAAAATTTCCTCAGTATTCTCTGCAATCCATAAAGTCTTGAGAAAAAAACATGATTTTGAACATACCATTTCCAAACCTCTTGATTTTCTTCTTCTTTCTTTTTACGGCCCTTCTTTTCGGGTGAAGCTGTTTCCGTCTTGATTTCTACTTTTACTTTCTATAGAATACACAATAACAAAAATCGATTAAAAACTATTCAAAATAAAATCGATGAAAAAGCATTACTTTTTCCTTCTTGATTTTCTTCTTTTTCGGTTTGTCATAGTCGTCTTCGTCATCGCTTGGTTCACGTTTAATTTTCTTGTCTTTTTTCTCAGTTTTAGGCTTCTTTCGAGCATTCAATGGCAAATCGTCCTCATCATCAGATATCTCACGCTTAATTTTTTTACGCTGTGCAATTGGCATGTCCTCGTCATCATATTGGTCATCAAGTGTGTCATTCACAGTGCCTTCAAAATTTACGATCCTCTGGCTATCATCATCACCTTTGACCGAGAACTGCGATTCATCGGCTCGAAACTGAGACATAGAATAATCACATGAGCTAGTCTCTGAAATTTGCGATACATTTACAAAACATTCTCGAATGCCGTTTGCTTCGATTGCACTCGTTTCGGAAAATGAAAAGTTGTTTATGTCTAATGGATCTTGTAGCTCTTCTTTGATGACAGCAATCGGCTCCGTTTTAATATGTTCCACACCATTTTCGTTAGCTTTTTTCTCTCGATCTTTATGACGATCATGGCCGCTTGATTTCGATGAATGATGTTTGTCCTTATCACGGTGCTCTCTATCCTTATCGCGGTGTTTGTCCCTTTTGAAAAAAAAAAAAACACATGCTACGTTAGAATTGAGCTCAATTCAATTAATTTAACAGATTAACATACTTTCCACTGCTGCTGCTTGAATGATGTTTCGACGATGAGCTTCTATGTTTGTCCTTATCTTTGTCAGATTTGTCTTTGTCGTGACGTGAGCTGCTACTAGATGAATGATGTTTGTCCCTGTTAACAAAATAATAATTTTGATTAATTCGGCGTTTGATTTAAAAAGACATTGAATGCACACATACTTGCTGCTACTGGAATGCGAGTGGCCGCTCTTCGAACTTTTATGCTCTCGATCTTTATCACGATGCTTGTCCCTATTAGTAATTACACGTATTTTAATGAGAAAAAAAATGTGCTCGATTTTTCACCACAAAAATATTTCTTACTTTCCACTGCTGCTGCTCGAGTGGGGTTTCGAAGAAGATGATGAACTCTTGTGTTTGTCCTTGTCAGACGAGGATTTGTGTCTATCCGTTGAATGTTTATCTTTATCGTGACGTGAACTGCTGCTAGACGAATGATGTTTATCTCTGTACACCGAAAAATAATAAATACAATAATAATATCTAATTAGCAATTGAAAAAAACAAATAATCGTCATCACAAATTGAAAAAAAAAAATGGTAATAAAATTGCCACACAAATTAACGTATAAAAATATTTCTTTAGAGAGAGTTTTGTCATACTTGTGGCTGCTGCTGGAATGCGAGTGGCTGCTCTTCGAACTTTTATGTTCTCGATCTTTGTCACGATGCTTATCCTTACTCGACGATTTATGATGATGCGAACTGCTGCTGCTACTTTTCGTTTTCTCCTTAACGTCGGAGTTAGCACTGCTCACGACAGAGTGTCCATTACTCACACCATTTAGCCCATTCATTGTTTTAATTTCCTGATTTGCAGAAAACAAATTACAGTTGAGTATAAATCAGAACACACAATACCAGCGAAGAAGATGAAAAAAATCACATATATAATTGCATTGAGTACAGTTTATATGTTCAAAGAGACGCGTCAGTAAAAAATCACACATACAAATTTAGCGAAAACTCGAGACTAAAAAAAAAACATAAATTGGTAAATATACCATTAAACAAGCACTTTATTTATTGATACAAATGCCAATTTCACAATATACAGATGATACAAAAAAAAAACTGAACTCCAGTCACCAAACGACGATGAAAGCAACTATATTTTGTGCTTAACGATTGAACGAAAAAAAAAAAACAAACTAAATGTTGAATTGTATATTGTTTCAATGAAATTTCATTGGCAATATATATATTTTCTGCTACTGTTGCTTTACATGTTCGTCGCACTTAATCGTTTCACTGTCTCTACCGTACATATACATTACGCTTTGTGCTGTACTACACAGCGTTATGCGTTTTCGATCTTCTTTCTTTTCTCGTATGTAGCTTTAACAAGTGATAGAACAATATGGACGACGTCGTAAGACTTAGTCGTTCGTCGCCATTTTTCACGTTCACAAATAAAGTACCATTAATACACCGAATTCGCCAAAAAATCATTAAGAAAAAATGTTCCAAATTAAAAATAATGTAAATTTCTTTTATTTACCGAATCCGAAGATCCGCCGACAACTGGATTTTCGATGCTCATTGTTGGCAATAGCACCGAAAATTTTCTAAGTTCACAAAAATTGTACCAATTCTCACAACTGATTGAAAAATTTTCAACCTTCTTCGGAGCGACTCGTGAAGGTAAATGAACGAGAAATTTTCTAAGTCCCAGCAAACGCGACAAACGCATCGATACAAATACAACGCATTCGACCGCACACAATCGCCTTCGTTGCGTTCGCTTGTTCGAATATACCACTCGACTGTATGTGCACTCAAGACAGACAGAGAAAGAGTGTTACATGATTTAAGTATGGGTTATCTAATGGTTTCGTGTAAACCAACCATTCACCATTTGATTTCAATTTTTTCTCTGTGATTTCAATTTCTTTTCTAAAATAATAATTTCAATTAATTTTCACAATTTTTAGTCGAAAAGTGAGTATTTTCTAGCCACAAAAAAAAATTACGACAAAAACAACGAAATTTAATAGAAACTTTCGAAAAAAGAAGAACTGATATCTACAATCGGTGCTTTTACTCTTTTCTGTCGAATGTGACAAACAGAGTTCGAAACACTGACATGTGTCATCTGTGCGGCCGGTTAAATGGATTTGCGGTGAAGAACGCATTTTAATAAGGCGATTGCGAATGATTGTTAAATGATATTCAATGCGTTCAAACGTACACGTAGTTCGCATCTTACACGATTTTTTTTATTCACAAAATCAATTTTTTATTCATGTTAAGAAAAACAACAACAACATTTAATGTGAAAATGAGAGTAAAATTTATTTCGATGTCAAAATATGAAAAACAAAATTGATTCACATTTAACCTATGTATTGAATGTTGCTGATGGTGGCCTTGATCTATGCTTCCTTCATCTTCTGGAAGGCAAATACTAAATATAGCGCTATGAAAGAGAAAAAAAAACATTGTTAAATAAAACATTTGATTCAGTTTGGTCTGGGTCAACCGGATGAACTTACAACTAACTTCCCATTCGCTTTTTGACAGAGTGCCACATGTTCGACCCTTTGAATAGCCTTTCACATGAGCGTATTCTGGTGATACACTCAAATCAGCTGCTTCTCTTTGATTAAACGGAGGATACGTCTCTAATGCGTTAATTTTCTCCAATAGACCCTTGGCTACAGAACAAATTTACGAATATAAATTTATTTTTCTCATTTACCAAAATTTCAAAACAAAAATAAAATAGAAAATCAAATCAAAAATAAAGCTTACATGTATTTTTATGTCTTTCAAAAAAGTCCTCAAAACGTTCCTTCAGAACTAATTTGAGTCCGAATTTCGTCGCCAACTTAACCAATAATGGAAAATGTACCAAAAACTCTGGACAATTTACGACTCCATCCAATTCAAAATTATATTTGGCTCCAAATAGTGGTGGGGTCTCTGTATCGCAAAGAAAACTAATGCGAAAAATATCGTTCCCAAATTCATCACTATTGGCCTCACGTTGTCGTTTCATAATGTCATTTGCATCGGGAATGGTTCCAATAAAATATCCTCCGGGTTGCAGACATTCAGCTGCATTTCTTATCATGCATTCGGCTTGTGTAAGCGATTCGAAACAATAATGAAATGCAAATTGGCAACTAACCAATTGCAATCGAATCGATGGATCTTTATATTTTTCGCGTAATCGCTGCAATGTTGAATCGGATGCAAAAAATTCGGCTGTAAATAATTTTTTCGGGTATCGATTTCTTTGATTTCGTTCAATCATCGTTTTGTATCGTTCTTCGCACTGTTGAACACTCACTTCGGCGATGTCAGTACAGATTAAGTGCGTTATACCTGAATTTTCCCATTTTAATAGGTCACCACCCTTTCCACAGCACATATCAAGCGAACGCAATGGTTCGCCAAGCTTAACAAATTCTTTAACTTTTGACAAAAATTCATTGATCAAAACACTTTTGATCCAATTATTAAAATTTCGCATATGAAATATACGGGACTTTGATCGTTCGGCTCGACCTCTTTCTTCTAATTGGTTATAATGTGTGGCCACAACGTTTGTATGATTATCAACTTCACAAAAAGTTGTCGTTGGCTCTTCAGATGCATCCTCATCGTTTGCTTTTCGCTTTAAATCAACGGATCGATTTTCAGTTGCAGGTTCGTCCGTTGGCCGTGTCTCTGCTTCGGATGTACTATCGTCACTATCATCAAAGGCCACATTTTCTGTATAAATTACTTGTGGAATCTCTTCGTCAAATGTGTCGGCCATTGTATCTTTTAACGATCAATATACTTTTTTACGGTTTTTTTTTATACAAAATCTATTTTTTTTTGTGTGACCTTTTGATTTATTTACGATGTCAATGTGTACTATATAAAATGTACTAACTTACTGACTAAACAATTTAATGCGAACTGTCAAAAGTGACATTTCGAAATAAACGTATTTTCGAACATGACTAGTTGTTGTGTTGTTCGAATTGTGTTGTATTTGAAGCGTTAGTTTCGGTTTCGATACTTAATTGTTTCATATAAGCCAAGAAACAGGTCCACATTAAACTACATACGCTTATGAAAACAACACGATTTTTTTCGGGTACCAATGCAAAGTTGAACGTCGAAACGGCCGGCCATATACACATTGCAGCCTTGAAATAATATTTTTCATGAGATATACACACATTAATTTCGAGTAATATATCAATGAGTACCTTGTATGTTGGCCAAAATTTACTTTTCACCTCATCGACTCCACCTTCTATACTTTTGCCTTCGAGTAAACTCATGAGAAAATAAAAACTCGTCATGGCAATTGGGGTATACGAGATTTGTTCTAGCAAACCCTACAATTATTATTATTTTATTTAACAAAAATTTTTATTTGGTTTTTTTTTCGAAAATTGGATCTGGTTTATATACTTTTGATACAGCCGCTCGGAGTGTGTTTTGTGGAAATAATCGACTTGATATTCGAATCCATGTGTAAAGTGTCGGCGCTACATAGAAACCACCATAGATAGAAAACCTAACACACTTGGCCCAATCAATTGAATCTTTATTTAAAATGAAATCGATTTTTTTAATGATACCAATTTTTTTGCTAGTTTTACAAACGACTATATTTTACCCCATTGTGTTCCCACAATTTTTTGCTGTATAAACGCACTGGTTGGCCAGATTAAACTGTAGGACACCATACCTCTGATCAAGGGATACCTCGTAAAGACTTCTCTAACACGCATCATTTGGCTTTAAAAAAATCTATAAAAGTAAGACTCACAAAGATTAACATTCATTCTCGCAAAAGTCTTCATCTTAATATATTATACATTTACAATTCGTTTATAAATTAAATTGCTTCAAAAACAATGATACAATGAGTTAATAATTGTCAAACAAAACAGCATAAAGGTAATTAGTTCATTCTCTGAGTGCGGCGGAATGTTTGTGTTGATCAGCATCTACAATATGTTGCACTTTATTGTGTTCATGTGGTGGTGATGTCTGTTTCATGTATGCTAAAAACGTTGTCCAAATTAAGCCAAATAAGCTCACAATAGGCACACGATTTCTTTCAGGAACTAGTGTATAGTTCAACGTTTGCACTGTAGTCCAATAAAAAACACCGATCTGTGATTGTGAGATATTTGCATAAGACCATGTTAGTATATGCTGTTTATGAATGTAATATATGTTTTTAAGTGTCAAAATTTTGGTCATATTAATGATACCTTGTATGTTGGCCAGAATTTTTCACAAACTTCTTGTTTGCTTTCTTCAACCGTTTTGTGATCCATCAAACTCAAGATGAAGAAAAATGATGCCGTTGCCAATGGGCCGTACGACAGTTGCTCGGTTACAGTTTTCATAATCGCCGTCCGAAAATTGGACACTGGCCAAATTTTCGACGACAACTTAATCCATCCAAACAAGCTTGGAGCGACATAAAGTGACCCGTACAATGCAAACTGTAAGCACTTATTCCAATTGTAAGTGTCTGTGAATGAAATGATTTGAATGAGATCAATGAATGAATTGAGAAATGAATAAAAAAACACATCTAAATGAGAGAATGATTATGGAGAATTACCCCATTTTTTGCCATCAATTGTCTGTTGAATTAAATTTCCTGTTGGCCACGTTATACTGTACGCAAGCATTCCTCTTGCCAGAGGATATTTGGTGAAAAAGTGTTTAGCTGTGCTCAATGCCATTCCTGTATTGGTTTTTGTACTGGGAACTAATAATATCCTAAAAGATTAGTCACACGATTTGCATGCACATCTATTGCGAATGAATTTTTAAAATGCTTGAATTCCTAACTACACACATAACACACACCCACATACAAACTTTACATCAGCTTAATTTTTGCTTACCAAATTTTTCTTATCAATTCTATCTGATTACAAATGCTTTTTATTTTAACAATTTTGCAAATTCACCAACAATAATTGAATTTAAATTAAATACTTTTTTTCTTCAAAATATCGTTCGTTTTGCTTTAAGAGCTCTTCAATTTCAGTTGCGTGTTCCAATAATACTGTAGAAAAAGTAATGTAATCACTAAATTCGTATACGTTCGGCCGTGGCAATGAAAACCGAACGGAACGAATGACGAATTTAGCTTCCGTATGATTTAGAATGCGGAGGCCAATACTGTGTACTGAACATTTCATCGGAACTATTTTCCGTAATTTGCTAAAACTAGTTTTCGTGAAAAATTAAAAAAACGCGTGACTCGCTGCAAAAGAAAATGTAAACAAACCGCAGCGAGCATGTGCAAAAATGACAAAGGCCTTGTACCTTGACCTATATTTTGTGACGTCATGAAATTCGAGACGTAGCAACAATATACTAAATGAAAATCGACAAAAATGGTTAATTTCCTCTCACATCACACTCACACACATACATGCACCACAATTTATTTAAACTTTTCATAATTTCTGCGTTCTTATCACAAACATTAAAATTACACAATTGAATTGAATTATTACCACACGACCACTTGTCAAATTTACCTTGTTACGATTGTATAGTACGATATAGACTTAGTATATATACTTTTTACAAGAACTATTGCCAATATTTCAAATAAAAGCGATCAACTTGAAATATTTGCAATTGGAATTGAAAATGATCATTCCATCACTATGTTTGAGTTCGAAACAGAGTTTTTTATTTATAAAACATTATATTTTGTCCTACGAATGGTATCGTAGAGTGCTTAGAGATAATAACTGAATGACGTTTTATGAATGAATTGTGTCAAAATGACATTTGTATATTCATGACATAATTTTGACATAACAATAAAGAATAAAATTGAGAATTTGCCACCAAACAATTATTTTAACTGTAAATAATGGATATTAAGGAAGAAAATCAAATGTGTTTCAATGCACTAAGCAGTATCAAAAATGAAATTGAGAACATCAAAGCTGAATTGGTAAAAAGATACATTTATAAAATATTAGAGTTATGATTTTTTTTTTGTGAAATCAACCTCTAGCATTTCGTTTATACAAATTTCTGCATTTTTCATTCAAAATTGTCTATAAATTATGAATTTTCAATTTTAGTGCATCACATCGAATATGAATAGCTACATTCCAAATATTTTCAATCGAACACAAAAAGTAGTGTTACGGTTTTTCTTTGAAGTAAGTGATACTCGTTATTTTAATATAAGGATGAAAACTAATGTGAAAAATGGATAGTGCTTTCAATTTTTCAAAAATAGAAAACAAGTAAACTATGGATGCTTTTTAATGCAATCAATGATTGGCGCTTATCGCGATTGGTATAGGAAGTCCACTCTCCACTGAAGTACTCCTTCAACTGCAAATTCCGACTCAACCTTATCAAGCTCTGTGGTGTGGTCTACCTAATCCCACCAGGCGGTCTTTGAAGGAATGTCTCGGTACGGCTGCAAATGTATTGATCCAATTCCAGAAAGCGGTCAGTTCAACACTTTTTACTTATTAGTTTTTATCATATTGTAATTATAATATGTTGTTTTATCCTAATAGATCAAAGAAGAAGATACTCAGCTGGGCAAAGAAGTAAGCATTTTAACTGCAGTTTTGAAAGGCCAATTTGATGCTCTGTTACAAAAAATCCAAGGTATACCAGTGCACTGGAATGACTGCGCAACACCAGCCGCAATGTTCGATAAAGTAGCCGACACGTTGGAAAATGCAATTAAAACTTTTTACGCGCAAGATTTCTATAAGATTTTATTCAAATAAAAAATTGTATACATCTTATATCAATGAACAAAATCAAAGCAATTAAATGTGTTGGAGAGTGAGAAAACCCCATTTTTTATGTTGGTGATAATTTTATTTATATGTTTTGCACGACATATTAATGATCAGTTGTGTTCTACAATAACTTATTCACTTTTTATTCAAAAATATAGATATCTTGTTCAAAAATGGTTTTTTTTCATCTTCAGAAAAAAGAAATCGGTTTTACAATGCAAAAATATTAAACATGAATTTAAAAAATTACAATTTGTTTTGTTGAAGGCGCAAAAGTTCGGTGAAAAACTGTTTGTTATATTGGACAATACTTGAAAACTTCCATTGTGTTCGGTTCAACACATTGTTCACCAGATAAAAAAAAATGGAAATTATAAACAAAAAAAATTGTTTTCATACGCTTCTATGAACTGTTTTCTTCGGGTTTCTTTTAACTTGGTGAAACTTGATATATTCGGTTACTAATGGATTATTTTCAAAATTCGATATTATTGCATCGATTAAAAAGAAAAATAAAACCTAATCGGTATAATGCAACTTAATTACAAATTCAGTAGATATTTATCTATGTCGGTTAAATATTTAAATTTGTTTACGCATGTCGCTCCTATTTT